CTTAAGACTGTTCCAGCTCCTGGGTGGAGACTGGCCCTGGGTTAGAATCTGCCCTTTTTACCTACTGGCCTTTGATATCATCAATGCTAAACTTCTAAGTTGTACGTTTAACATGACTATTCGGAAAAAAGTCAGCGATGGGGCCAAGACTAAAGACGCTACACACTTGTGAGCAGTACGTTTCTGTTTTTCATGTAGTTTACCGTCATCGTATTAGTCACCTGTAATCAAATATTTAATTTAATGAATATAACAAGTAGAGATGTATACATTTTTTTAACAAAGCTAAATACGTTAAATATTCCTTTTAAGACCAGTTCAAGTTGTAACTAGATCAATAACTAGTACTAGTTTCAGTATAGAGAGATTCTTGTGATGCACGTCATAGTATACTATATAGGAAGAAGTCAAAAGTTCTGCCTCTGGACCAGTTTAAATTTTGTACAGCAAGACCATTAGCTTATGCCTTTATAGTTGTTAAGCTTATGTAGACGCAAAGAAAATTTAATAAGTGTGTAAAATTTAAGCACCACACATCAATAAGTGTGTGTGTAAGCTAATATACTTGGGCAGAGCTTTCCTCGTGGAAAAAAAAATCCATCACTTGCTCTTTCGTTGATAATAGCAGGCGGGTACACTATAGTTCATACCCATACGTTTGCGATTGAGCCACGCTAACTGATCATTTTTGTTTTTACAGCACATTGACTTAACTCTAATGGCTCTATCTGTTGAATTTCAATCGACTGAAAGAAAGACTTCTCTCTTTAAATACGCAAGCGCATAATACAGCATGAACACAAGCTTGGCGCAAAAAACTGACTATTTTTGTTTTAAGTCTTGAGTGAAAAAATGTTAGTTTTTGATGTGCTAAGAATTCCCTTCAAAGAACAGCTCAAACAATACTTTTAAAAGGTCGCTTGTAATTTTTTTTTAATTTACTAGTACAAATATTGAAAGGTTGCTCAACAAAATCTAAAGTAATATACTACTAATTTTTAAAAAATTACGAGCTATTTTTTAAAATTCGAATTTCGATCCTCAAATTTTCAGAAGCTTATAATTTTTTGGTCTATAAAATTATACCGTAACGAGGAAAAAATTTGAATAAAAAAAAATTCGGTTTTTGGCCATTTTTCAATCTCAAAAAATTTGGAGCGATCTCTTAAAAATGTTTGTGTGAGCTGTCCTTTGAAGAGAGTTCTTAGCACATTAAAAATTAACATTTTTTTACTCGAGACTTGAAAGGAGTCTTTCTTTCAGTCGAGTGAGATTCAACGGATGGAGCCATAAGAGCTAAGTCAATGTGTTGTAAACAGGACTCATTACTGACACGAATACATGGAAACCATATAATACCTACTTTAAAGCTAAATGTAATGCAAATCCATTGCACGTTATTTTGTATTATTTTCAAAAAAGACATACACTATTTTGGGGTGCTGTAAAGTTTCAAGATATAGGGTGGTAGACAGAAGAAGATGCATCTTCTGAATTGGTAAGTTGTTCAAATACATTAAAATAATACAATCTTATTGCATGACACATCTGCTATCGTGAAATTTACCTCAGTGAGTAATAAATTTAATGTGTGGTGTGGTCAAATGTAGATGTTAAGTAGTAGTAATGCTTGATAGTTTTTTTTTTTTTTTTTTTTTTTTTCCACCACTATACATAAGACTTTCTCTGACATTTTTTATTACTCCATCTCAATATAGCCTTACCTATTAAACCATTTCAAAACTTTTTTCTTTCACACTAGTAGTGTCAACAGCAGTCGTATCAAAAGCCAGCAACTGGAGCAACTACTACAGTGGTAGATAGAGAATCTTCTATTTCATAAAATAGAAGCTATGGCTCTCCTGCTTATTTTTTAAAAATAAATGTCATTTTTTTTTTTTTACAGCACTGGTATCAGCAGCAGCCGGACTCAGTGCAGATTAGGGAAAATTTGTTGGGAGAACCGAATTTTATAAAATTAAATGAAGTTGGCGATTATAGTCAACTTTGTTTACCGCCATGTAAGAGAAGTGACATTTTTTTTTATGTTCGTCAATAAAATGATCACAAAATATATTTATTGGTGTTGATTTTTTATCCCCATCCTCTTTAAGCTCTTTGCTCAGCTACTTCAGGTAAAATTCCCATATCTGAACACGATAAGCTGCTCCAAGGGTTGCGTGTGCAGGCACGATTCTTAGCATGATCATGCATTGCTCTGGTTATCCAGGATAAACCTGGCTGTTGGAAAGCTGGCTCTAGCTACCGCAGTAGGAAACAACATCTCATGCACCAATCCGTCTAGGGAAAAAGAGGAGGTGAGCCAGAACCCTCTCAGCTTACCTACTTACATGTATGTGTATATTTGACTGGTTAGAAAAAATTGACTTATTTTTCTTCCGAAATTTCCACGTGTAAACTTTTAAGGAGATGTATCTTTTAAGGTAATGTCAAAACGCTGGTAAGCCTCTAATATTCATGTTTAATGCTCGTGCATCGGCATTTAAATAACACGGGAAAAAAAAATTTTGTAATGTAGAAATTCATAACTTCTAAATAGCTCATAAAACTGCAGTGACCAAAATGTTTAGTTTTCATTCCACGAATTATGTTTTTGAGCCATTATTACGTGAAAAAATGTAATAATTGTAAAAGTCATCGCATGCCAATTGAGGTAAAACTTTGATCTAAAATATCTTTTAAAAAAATAGAATGAGGAATGTATGATAGAAGCTTCGCTTAGGAGGTGCTAGGGGTACTCGATCCTGATTTATGTATATATTCGTATATCTGTGAATCACCGCATGACTCTGTGTGCACGTACTACATACATAGAATATAATGTCTATATATACATGCATATATTTGTACATGGTAAACAAATAAAATAAATATACGTATACTCCTTACGGTGTGAGAATATGTATAATTTTCTGTAATAAGGTGTAGACAATAAAAGGAAATTTAAATTTCAAAAAAATAAAGTACTGAAAGAAAAGTGGCTCGCAGCCATCAGAAATTAATTATTTCAGCCAAGTACAAAAATGGCCTCTGTGCTGACCACTCTAAGTCGGCGTGTCTGTTAGCAGATAGCAGACAAGGTGGTACCCGTATTATTTTTAATTACTTATTTGTTGGTATCGTTTGTTTATAAATTATAGTGCTTGTAAAATAGATTGTAGGTTATGCGTTCCAGTTTACTTGTCTGTGTCCAGATTCAGTGCCATGGATTTTTTTATTGAAAAAACAATAAAGAGAAGTCCATTACAGTTATACATACATGCTCATATACATACACAGTCTTGACTGTCTCACGGATATACAAATGCATATATAAATTAGGTCTAAGTGGCCCTGGCGCTATATGAGCTAAGCTTTCACCATACAGTCCTTATTATCAAAAATCTTGTAACGAATTTGTTCGTAGAGCGTCAAATTCTCTTTAAAAAAATGTTTTGGTCCTATACATACTGTACATAATTGACTAGAATATTGTTGGCTAAAAAAACAGGATTTTAGTCTTTTATGCCTATAAAAATACTTTTTAAAGAATTGGACCGAATTGATATTTTTCTGAGCACTGTTTAAATTGATGCCTTTTTACTCGTCTTTTTTCTCATTAGTGCGTTGGGTAAGACCTAACAAATAGTCCATGTATTTACTAGTCATAGCAAACTTATAATTAATTAAATGTATTCAGATTATTGACGATAATATAATTAAGAGACTTCTAAACAAGGTTATAAACTGACAACTTTTGTATGTCATTACACCGTAGCGGGGTTGGGATGTAATTATTACTCACTGGGTACACAAAATCTACAAATAGTTATGTACAAAATACTAATTCTTCTTAATACTTTATTATTTGTCATGACTAAAAAAAATGACTCAACAATAAATACTATTTATTAAATTCATGCTCTAATTAATTAGTATTTCCTGTTTTGTCATTTATTATAAAATAGCTACATGTTTCTTATTTATAGAATATTAAAAAATGAATTATATACAATTGTTACTGTTAAGCATCAACAGTACCTACATTTCAGTGAGTTACAGTAATATTATAATTTACTGTTAAGCAGTAAGCCCACTTTTTTCACATTATTTGTAACAAAAATTTATTAGAGATAATGGTTTTTTAACTATCTCTCTGCAACTATAATCACTTTTGCTACATTTTTTGTCTTTTTTTCAAGACTTGTCCAAAACTTTGTTTACTCTAGATTTAAGCGTTGTGGTGTACAAATTAATATTACTATATTTAATTCAGTCGTAGATACGATATAATTAAGTTATATTATTAATAAAGTAAATTTTTTTTTCTGACTAAGGTCTTACTCTTAACATGCTTCTAATATTTTATTGAGGCACCAGGATAATTTTTATTTTCTTCGATAATGATAAAAAAATTTTTTTTTTTCGTCAACATAGAGCATTACTTTTGTTTTATTTGTCTAAGAAATCATTGTTTTTTGTAGCTTGAGTTTTTATTAGTTCTTATTTGAACACTTGATATATTACAAATATGACTAAAGTAAGTTCCATATTATTAGTAGTGAAAATTAAGATGAGAAATTCATGTTTATTGTGAATTGATTAAGTATGATTTGTTACTTTATATTTCATGTTAGCACTTCAAACCATTACACTATACTTTTCATAACAAAATTAAATTTGACCAGAAAAACAAGATTGTTTTTGATTTAAATATATTAAAAACCAATATTGCTTTCCGGAAAAAGCCAAACATAATTTTTTTTTGTTCGAGAACTTAAAAAAGTGATACTCCTTTTTTTTAGGATTTTTCTTATCCAAAGTGTTTATTTACAATATATTCAGTTACTAAAATGAGGTGAAATGTTCAGTGTAGAAGCATCATTTAGACATAGTTTTTCTGTGAAAATGAAGAAAATTTTTATTTCATTTTTACTGATTAATGTTACTGTAAAACATTAATAATACATAAAAATTGATTTTAATTATCTTCATTTTAGGAGCAAGATCTTTTGGAACAAAATAGAGCCTTGGGTGATGCTAAGCATCAGTTTATGGTGATGAAACTTTTTAACGATACACGACAAGATTTAGCTGATATTCTGTACATGTGGTCAGCGCAATCTAGTTTACCAAGTACTGCAATGTTTAGACTTTTAGCACTACTACAAAAAAAAAATCCTGAGTCAGAAGTTGGAAAAAGCAGCTCAGATAAAATTACCCTGGCTCTCATTGTTGCTTTTTTATATTCAATTAACTTTAACCACTTGAATACTAGAGATGATGGTGAAGGTAAGTTCAGAAAAAAATCTTTTTACTTATTTCACACTGCATTTCATATGGTATCATAGTTAATATTATATAATTTTTATCATTTCAGAAATAATAAAATCAATGTCATTATTATCTGAAAGAGGTGTTTTTGAAGAAATGTTGCAAAAACTTTTATCACCCAATGTTGTATGGGAAAGTTTTGGTTTAAGAGGGTTTGCTCAATTCGCACTCGCGGTAGCTGTAACAACCATAAAGTCAGTACCTAGTTTATGTCCTATGCAAAGTATTACTAAAGAAGATGAAATACTTGTTGAAGCTGCTTTATGCAACAAAGCCTTTCAGTTTGCGACAGAAGTACTTTTTAAAAGCAAAAATTTATATTATGAAGAGTTTTATATCCGATGTTTTCATTCACTCATTTCAGACTTTATTTTGTTAATGCCCCTCAAAGTCAAAGAGTTAAGAAGTAGAGATGATGAGTCGATGCGTTTGATCCATGCTTATCAGCAAGAAGGGCTTGAACCGCCCATGAACTTAGACAATCACTTTAAATATTTTATGCTCATGATTGCTGAACTATATGCTAATGATCCGTTAAATTTGAATTTAGCTATGGACTACTGGTGTCAGCACTCAGAGACTTCTCATATCTCTAATTCTATTTATACACGGTTACCATCAAGACAAGTTGCTTTGTTTAAATTTGTAAGATTAGCTAGTGAAATTTTACCAGCTGGACTGTTTGTGCCTTATTTGAAAATGATTGCGTCATTGGCTTCTTCTCCTCAAGCTGCTAGACAAGCGTTCAACTTTTTGAAACCTAATGGTAATTTTTTTCCAGTACGATTTTTCCATTATCATGTAATTCTAACTATCTAAAATATGATGGCCAGATTTGAAAAAAAAACTTTAGTATCCAAACTTTTATACAGTTTTAACGTGCGATGTAATTTTCCAAATCATTTAACATATTTAAATCTCTAAGTTTATACAGACTCTAGAGTACTTCAAAATATTCTGATTTTTTAACATAAATGAAGTAAATCTCTTAAAATTAAGAGTGTTAATCAGACCAGGTTTAGTTGTAACTGGTTCAAGTAGACCTACTACAATCTAGGTAAATTAGTTTTTAACAACCTTTCTTTATAAATTAATTTTTTGCAGCCATGGTAGTGTAGTAGCTTAGACTGCCGTTCTTATAGCTCAGAGACTTGGTAACACATGCTCGTGAGTTCGAGACCTGAGCTTTTTTTATTGACTCGCACCTCTGGAGAACTTACTTTTTAAGTAAAAATTTCGAACTACTATCCGACTTTCAGGAGTTGTGTAAAATATCCGATCCTATTGCTGCGCAAGTAATTAATTTACAATAAATCTACGGTGGTGTTTAATTATGCTACCGACCGTAGCGTACATATACGGTAAAACTCAAATGCAAAGCTGAATAGGACCCGTATGAGAACTTCTAAGACTGAAATATATATCTTCTTATCATATATAGTTAACTGTGTGGAGATTTTTACGCGCCCCCATCTGCCCCTACCGCCGATAAAATACTCTCTACTGTAATCTTTGTCCTTTGCAAATTAAAGGGAGATTTGTTTTATTTCTTCGTTATTTCAACCCAATTAAAATTAGGTCAACCCCTTCTGCCGCCACCCCACTGTCACTCATGCAATTTTTGTTGCTGATAACTCTCTAATGCCCCCCACAGATCCTGTATAAAATAATAACTAAATAATACTTGGTTCTCGTACTTCTGACGCATCAAATTTTTTTTTTTTTTTTTTTTTTTTTGATAAAACATTTGTAAATGGTTTTGTAATAAAAAATTTTGTTGGTAAAAATAAAGGTTAGGTTTTGTGTATTTTAGTTTTTTGGCAATATCAATACTGTGTATGGAATGTGATAGTAAAAATATACTCATAAGTTTTCATATTTTTGAACGGTGAATGTAACCTCAAAAAGTTATTAAACATTTCAAAAAATCGTAATATAAAGATAAAAGCAACATCAAAGCTGAAAAAAATTCGTTACGTATTTTATAAAAAATTACTTTTTTGGATTTTTTTAGATTATTAAAAGTAGTGAAAGAGACCGAAAAAAAACTCGAAATTTTGTGATTTATCAAAACTTTTTCTTCGTCTAATTAATAGTTTCTGTTTAGAAAAGTCTAGTTGTTTTTCCAGAAATCCAATGGATAGACAGTACATGTCGATGCACAGTGATGTTTATTGAATTTGAACTGGTCCTAACCGCTACCGTGCGTAGGTTTCGCTAAGGATCGGGTGATCTGGATGGACATTCTCGAGCAGCCGCGCAGTTCTTCTTATACACTAAAAATCGTTTTAGTACTTGCGGTGAGTGGTCGATACTTAGCAAGTGGTAGGTGGTACTATCAGTCGCGAAGTTTAAAATTGGTACTGGGTGGGATGTTTGAAAATCAAATTTATGCAAGTGATTAAAGTTAATGAATAAGTAATTATTTTTATAATTTATAAATTAATAAAGTAATATCCTAGATGGTTAAAAGATTTAAGAAATAATTTTAGACTGAAACTGAAAAATTTTGAAATTGATCCACGCCTCACTTAAGGACGTTTGGAAATATTATTCAAAGAGGCGAAGAATAGGAAGTCTCCCCTGCCCGCGCAGCTAGACCCCGTTTATCGCCCACTTCCTCTTGCACACTGAAAACTTGAAACTATACGATTGTAATTGTTTACATTTTTTTAAAATGCCCGTCAAGACTTGATTTTTTTTGTCGAACATCTTTTTTTTGCACAAAGGTATCTATAAGATCGTTTTTTTCATTCTATCATATTTTTACTATCCCTTTATTTCAATTGGAAGGCAAGCTAATTTTTTTCTATCACAAACGATCGTGTTAGATTCAAAACATTTTTCTCGAAAATTTCCGTAGTAAAAAATGCAAAAAAGTTTATGTGCACTCCTGATGTGCTGAAATATAACAACTATTTTTTTGGGCACGATTCTACATTTTAAACTATTTTTCCGAACCTCCTTAACTAGTCTCACTCTAGCTGAAAGAGACTTGTGCCGTAGTGAACGTGCTAACATTTGTTTATATTTGATATCACTAAAAATCATTATGTTTTTTGTATACGATTAATTTACTGTTTACGCACAGTTAAAAAATGTCTAAAATAATGTACATTTGAGAGACAGATCGAAATAACTGTTAAATCTCCTTTATCGGCTACAAGACGTAAGCCTTATGATTCATTCAAAATACACCCCTAATTCACAAAAAAAAAAAAATTTGGCACATTCTAAGTATGTCAGTTACTTAAATTCTTTTCAACAACCAGATTAGTTCTAAACGTAAGAGAAGCGGGTCTTTTGAACATAAAGCTACGTTCTTTCTTATGCATTTGCAATCGTGCAATCTTTAACTAACTCCGTTTGAATAGACATTTCCATATCAATCCAGAGGGAAATTTAAAATCCTAGAAATTAACGATTTCAGTTCTCTATCATCGTATACTTGGTAATTCATGACTGTGCTAGTGTCTATGGTAGATGATTTCTCTTTCATATGTCAATTAACGCCTTTTTTTCATCAAGTGCTTTAAAATAACTACATAAGTTTGACGGTAAATTTAGTTAAGTCTTCGAAGCAAATGTAATACTTAGTTCGCTGATTAATCTGTGTGTAAAAGCAGCAGCCTTAATTATCATCTTCACCTCGAGTACTCTCGTGTAGAATAAGAAACATCGTTGCCGTCAACCATTGAAGCTTTTATGACTACATGCGCCTGAGCAGCGACCAACCAGCGACAAATATTAGAAGTAAGTTGAAATTAAGAAAAATTGGAGTTTCATATAGGCAGTGTAAACGTAAAACTAAAATTAATAATTAAATTTTTCTTTTTACAGCTCAAATTTTACTCAATTTATACAATAATATAAGACATAAGTTGATTGTTAGTTAGATTTCTACTATTAAGCTTTTTCCCAATTCAAATATTTAATAAGTAAAAGATACAAATTTTGATTAGGTGTGTGCATGTTCACTATACTTGGTGCACACATAAACAGTGATGCGACAATCCCAACGTCACTCATACGTCTCTCACACATTCATATGTGATTTTATACATACTTCCGGGTTGGTGCGTGCAAGCTAGCGATACGCACCAAAGAAATTTTTGTTGTGCTTACACAAAGAAAAAATTCGATAATCGATAAAAAAATGAGTTATAAATTATCTTAAAGATTTAAACAAAGAAGGACTACTGTCCTTTTACAGTTTTAGCAGAAACACTTCACATAAATAGTAATAAAAAAATTTTAAATGCAACACTGATTCATTTCTACATACATAAAAAGCAAAAACAAATGGAAAAATATTTGCATGAGCTTATTACTGGCGTAAAGGCTTTTCAATCTCTTCCTCAGGTATGAAAAGTACCAATTTAACTATTAATCTAGTGATAACACAATAACGAGATAGTCCTAACGTCACTCTCACGTATCGCACACGTGTATTAAGAAACGGTGAATATCTAAAATGTTACTTATAGTTTCCGCCAGTTACAATATTAATAAGAGACGAAATTTATGACAATAAAAAACGTATAAAAGGTTATTAAAATTTTAGGTACAGTTTCAGTTATACGCATATAATTCGATATGCAGTATAATTTTGATCATTGTACTGCGGTTAAAATGTGTGTATGTGGGTGTATTTTACGATACCTTGAAAACACAGCTCAATGCTGATACCCTTTCCGATTCCACTTACACGGGAAAGATGCTAGGGTACCCTCTGTCCAACCCGTTGGAAGTTACATTCCCAAACATAATTGGTAAGCGCTACTACCAGTTAGGGATTTTACGTCTCAAAAGATTTGTGCGTTCACTCGCTTATATTTTTAGGCGTTCGCTTTCCCAGCTAGTTGCTGAGAGCGACTAAGTGAATTAAATGTAATTTAAAGCTATGAAAAAAATTTTAAACTAATATTTCAAAACGATAAGTAACAAAATTAAAAATAACAAATATCTGAATGATTTCGCATTATCGCCTAAGAGGAACTAGGTATACAAGCTAGCTTTAGTTCTGAAAAAGCTACTGTGTAAGTACTGTGAGAAAACGTACTATCTCGGCGAAGTCAAAAAGGTGCCATCTCGACACCACAAAAAAATGCCTGCATCAAGGCAATAAAATAGCTAAATTACTTCGGATATGTGGGAAATATCTCCAGATACCTGTCAGTGATTAAAAAAAATTGGTTATCTATTTTCTCCTCGAGATATCTTTTACCAGAAACCTGAACATAGTACCTTTCTCAGCGAAAAAGTAAGATCGTACTTTTTTACACCCAGGCGATGAAATATTTGTATAAAGAAATTGAAATAGTTGCTTTAAAAATTTTTTAAAATATTTTCAACAAAATTTTATTAACACAGAGTGATATAGTTTATCATCAACATAAAAAAATTTAAAGAAAAAGTCAAGTGTTAAAAAATACTTTATATTTATTACAGTTGAAATCATGTGTTTACATAAAATGAACCGTTTATTTCTGCAAGTGTACACATAGTATAAAACGGTATGTTTTTGTATTCTACTAAAATATCGGGCATATCACTAACAGTCACATAATATGCTTGATAGTGGCTATCAAAGGTAATGCATTCCATGTATAGTGCATAAGAAGAAAAATTTTCCTTGGAATCGATGCACGCGATGTATTTTCCCAAAATTTAGTTGGTTATCTTCTGGTGTCATTCCGATTAAATATGTTTCTCCTACTGAAAATTTTTGACAGTTAATTTATACAAAATTAAAAGACTCAACTT